AGAGCGACAGGAAGGAAAAAAGTTAGATGGAAAGAACTCATTAGGATAGCTGCAGCCTCCTTTGAAACCCGCCTCAGTAATGCAGAGGAATTTGTGAACTGGCCATGAGTTCTGGAGGATCTCTCATAATATTTGACAAGTGAAAACCACCACCAGGCAGCTAATGGCCGTGCTGTCATGAAGGCAAATAAAAAGGCATGGCTCTGCATGCATGCAAGCTTTGCATCTCTGGTCATGTGAAACACAGTTTGCAAAATGCAATTCTAACCCCTCCTCCCCCAAGTTCCAGAGCAGATCTATTTTCCTGTCAAGCCAGATGGGAGATGTAGAGATTGTGTATGTTAGGGAAAGCAGTTGACGCTGAAAAAAAAAAAAAGAGGAACGTGCTTCATTTGGTTTGTGGCTCCCAGGTGGCCATTTGTCCCAGTAACGTTGTCCCTGTGGAGCAGAACATCGTGGGGTGGAGAGGAGATGAGCAGAGGCCTCTGTGGGCAGTAACTGCATCCTGGAGCCCACAGCTGCTGCTGCTGGCTCCATCACTTTCAAGACTCCAGTAACTAAGAACACGCTCCATGAAGCAGCTCCTGCTTCCTGATTCCTGCCAATTACAGCGGCCCATTAAGGATGAACAAATGCTATCTCGGCAGATGGGACAGTAGAGGTGTGTTAGTTCACTCTCGGGATAACGGAGAAGAAGGCTGATGCTGATGTGCTTCTTAGCTTCTTGTTGAAAAATCCGACCTAATCTGCAATGTAATAACGTAATTAAAAATTACAGAAAGCATCTCAACTTATGACAGGACCATAGTACAGATAAGATATTGACAGGTGAGGTTGTCCATAGATTTTCCAAAATCAGTTCACTACAATTGACATAAATTTAATTGAATTCAGTTTAGTTTAATTCAATTTAATTTAATTATTCTTTTTTTATTCACTTCAGTTAAGCTGACTTACACAGAGTTACATCTCATGAAAAACAACAGAGCACTTTACAAGATTAAAAAAAAGTCAAATTTAATATGTGAATACTTTTAAAAGTACTAGTTAAAAAAATAATTATTGAAATAAACTGAAGTATTTTTTTTCCAACGAAGCCAAGGTAAATGCCATTGAGTCTTAAAAAATGACGAATCTTTAACTTTCATGGAACAAGTTGGGAAAACTCACAAAGCAGAAATGCAAACAACACCTCAGGGGATTTACACACTGTGATCAACGAACACATCAGGCAGCAAAGATCGTAAAGGAATTCCTTATGTTATAAAAATAATCCAAGCACTAAGACGTAATTAGAAGCATGAGGAGGTTTATGGGCCACACAGATGTGTTAATTTTTGAATTGCCACTTTTAAAAAAAAAAAAACAAAAACAAAAAAAGAACAAAATATATTCTCCTGTATGCATTTATGGGGACATTTGTGTTTAAATAGCACAGAAGAGGCGGTGGATAGAGATGAAGGGAGCAGGATCCAAGCTGGATAATTGTTCGTGTTTAGTGAATTGAGAAAGCGGAGCGCTGTCTGATGACAGAGCAGACTCTCCTGCTGGGTCTCCGTCAGGGGGAAGGGCCTCATCTTAAATCTTTCTCTTATTGCGACCAGCAGTGTGACAATATCTCACTCTGGAGGAGGATCTTCGGATTTTTATGGGCGCTCTGGTGATTGAAAACCAACAGAGGAAAAGGGTATAAACCACTTAACTATAAAACAAGAGTATCTAAACAAAATGAATAGTGAACTGATACAGGGATTGTCAACCGTCGCTGTTGACTTTAACTATAAGTAATTTTTTTTTTTGTGAGATCTCTTTGTGAGCCACAAGCGTTTGGCAGAGGAGCGATGGTCTTATCAAGGCTGCCTGTGTCCTGGTGTAAATAAGCCTGTCAGGTTAGTTCATCTGTAATAGAGGACAGAGCTGAAGGATGACGCCTCTGCCTCTTTATGGCCCTTCCAGCAACACTTGTCAAGGAAACTGGAAATGCAAGACAGCGCAGATGCCCAAGACAAATAGGCTTTGTTTGTATGGTTTACAATTGGCCAACACAAAGAAACTATAGGACTATAAAGCCTTTTCAATATCTACACCGAGACGACCAAAACCATGGCATGTGAGGTGGGATAACATCTTTGGTGTCAAATAAGAGACGATTGTCTCTAATCTGATAAAAAGCAGAAGTCAAAGCATTTGTAGGTCAACCAAAAATGTAAAATACTCTAAAAAAAACAATAAATAGACAACTTTATTGTGCCTTCTTTATCTTAAAAATCTCCACTCAGTACTTTGATAAAAGAAAAACAAATTCCAAGGCTTACTTTATAGTTATAGTGAAGTGATCACCTGTTCAAAATGTTATGTAACGTTTGGGGATCACTTGTTCACACATAATATTCTGTGTTTCAATTTGTGTAGTTCTAAGTTGTGCAAAGATGTAGAAAAAAAAAATTTAAAGGAGATGTGGAGAACCACTCAGGTCTTCTGGTTCCAGTTTACTCTGCATTCCCAGAACTAGAACGATCATGGAGAAGAAGCTTTCAATTTCTTTTCTCCACTAATCTGTTTCAAACTTAAAGAAAATTACAAACACCCAAAACATTAAATTTATTTAAATCATTTGTTTACGTATATTTGCTTGATAATTTTGATGATGGCATTTGACAAAATGATTCCTAATTGGTTCCTTTGTTATGTTTTTGTTGTGTAAATCACATTGAATTGTCTCATTGCTAAGATGTGCTACACAATCCTATCTATCTATCTATCTATCTATCTATCTATCTATCTATCTATCTATCTATCTATCTATCTATCTATCTATCTATCTATCTATCTATCTATCTATCTATCTATCTATCTATCTATCTATCTATCTATCTATCTATCTATCTATCTATCTATCTATCTATCTATCTATCTATCTATCTATCTATCTATCTATCTATCTATCTATCTATCTATCTATCTATCTATCTATCTATCTATCTATCTATCTATCTATCTATCTATCTATCTATCTATCTATCTATCTATCTATCTATCTATCTATCTATCTATCTGTCTATCTGTCTGTCTGTCTGTCTGTCTGTCTATTTATCTATCAGTATTTTATTGTATATTTGCCGTTTCTTTCCAACTTCAGAAAAATGAATAGCTGTTGCTTCACGCCACTCCCAGGAAGAACAGCTTTAAGTTGTGTGTGCCTCTACCACCTTTGTAACGTGGAAACATTTTTGCAAAATCTTTGCAAAATATTATTTAAGTGTTGTAATATGCAGCATTAGTTTTCTGTCCTATGTAGAGCTTTGCACATAGGTCCTGTGCATAGCACATTATTAATGCAGAAACTATGGACTATTAGTCGTAACACAACATTTTGGCTGAAACCAGAGCAGTGAGGGATGCGACACAAATACTGGCCGCAACCTTGTGATGAAACCAGCACGGCCGGTTCTGCTTCAATCCAACGACCCAACCAGTGACATGCAACGAGTTCGATGCATGTCAAATTATTTCTCTTCCAATGCTCTGCCAACAATCCTAGTTTGTTGTCACCACAACAATAAACCACAACATCGTTGCTATGGGAGCATATGTTTTGCAAGTAAAAGTACTGCTTTACAGAGTTTGAAAATAAAAGAAGACAACAATATCTCTTAAATAAATTAAGTCTTCACGAGCATTAAATTATTTGAAAATAAAATGTTTCAGACTTGTTTTCTTTACTTTATCTCCTCGCTTAATGACTGTTGCCATATGCTGGAATCTAATCATGTCCTGAAAATGATCAAGGCCAAAAAGCCAGTAAAACGTCGCCTTTGAAATGTCTGTGAAGCATCTGTTTTAGACAGAAACATCTGTCTGATGCGGTAACAAACTCAAAATATGGCAAAAATTTACATACATGTTTATGAAAAGACATCTTATTTGAGCACGGGGCTCTTTACATGCAGCATTTTCATTTTAAATACTTCAATATAAGTGTTAAGGGTATCTTACGTTTTGTAATGAGCTTCCTGTTGCACTTTTAGATCTCTGCCATGAAACAAAATCTATTTTTCTCTTTTTGAAATTATGATTGGTTTTGTGCAGGCGCTGAGCAGATGGCGGAATCCATCTCATGAGGAAATGAGCAACAACTGTGCAATTAGAGGGCTGAAAAAATGCTGATAAATAAATTAGACAAACTAAAAAAAAATAAACCAATTAAATTGTAAACCAAAGAATTAATTAACTCCTCCACTAGTATTTGGTTTAATAAATTAAGAGAATTTATGTTGAAGTGAAACATGAAATTATACATCAAAAGAAAGAGCTCATTCCTCTACTTGGTGAGGTTCAGTAAAGGAGCTGTCTGTTGTCAGCATCTTGCTTTCAGGAGGCAGACATTTTATCACAGCAAGTTTTTAAATAGATAATTGATTACATGTTATATTTGTGGGTGTCAACTCTCAGTAGAGCTAATGTTGAAGAGTTTGTAAATCACACCTTTTTAAAGTTTGTGATTTCTGCTGTTTTTCAGTGGCCGTTTATCATCACTACACCTGGACAAACTAGCAGATAAACCTCTCCAAAATAGTCATTTTTAAGTTATTGTTAGCAAATCTGATCTTATAGTAGGTAACACTTGCATGTGTAACCTAATTTGATTTCTAGGTTCATATCTTCAGCCGTCTATGTTCACCTGCATGAAAAAATAATGAACTTTTTGTGTTCCAACTTCAGTAACTACAAACTAGTTATAGTTACCCTCAGTTTGACGACTCAGGTTATCATTACAAAGAGACCAAGCGTTTTCATGTGGTTCACAAACTGCATCCAATAAGGTGTTTGAGGTGAATGTGGTCTTGATGGAAAATGAGCCTCTTCCAGTGCTGGGATGATGTTTTCGTGGAGTTGTGCAATGTTAGTTTTCACCTGAGGTTTTCACACAGCAGTTTTATAATGACATTAAATAACACGTGTGGATTATGTGTGCTAAATAAACCACTTCTGAAGACAACTGGCTGCACTAGATTTTATTAAATGGTTTCACAGTAAAATGATCTGAATTAATATGTTTACCACACTTAAGATGTTTATTTTTCAAGAAAAACAACAAAACACACTTTATCTTTTTTTTTTCACTTCACAGTTTTGTACCACTTTGTGTTGACCCACACATAAAGTACCAACAAAATACACAAAATGAGAAAGAAATTCAAGTGATGTGAACACTTCTGCAGCAGAAGCCACATTTATACAGGTTTTTTTCCAATAATTATCAATAAATACATTATTGGGTGATACATACAAACAACAAAAGCAATTTGTGACAAATACATCTTAACCATGTTCCCACATTAATAGGTGTTTTCTTCAGACAAATGACAGCAATACTCTTGCATCTTTTTAAGGCATTCTGAATTTGCACTCATGAGATTTTATTAATATTTAATCAAAATTGTTGTAGCTTAATAGAGAATTAAACACACACATTTCAGGTATAATACTTATCTCAGCTTTAAAATTATAATACATTCACGTTGGTTTGGGGATACACAACAAGACAGTAAGTATCTTGACACCTTTAACACTGATTGCCACTTAGAGTTCACAAAATACATAAGACACACAACACTTACTTGCAAGGACTTTTTCCGACAAAGCACTCACCAAATAAACATTTTTAGTTTCATAAGTTCATATTGTATTTGTTTCTTTTACTTCTGAATATAAAAATAGCAACTCTTATTGATTTATCAGTGAAGAAGATCCATGCACATAATGAACTCATCTGTCAGATTGCACAAAACCTTCACTGCACTTCATGTATTATTGCACAGATTGCTTATGCTATGCAGTACATATCTATTTTATGTATTGCATCTACTTTAAATGCAAATGAAAGGACAAATTCTAAATATACACTTATGGTAGATATATATACTTTTTTATAACTTGATAATAAAGCAGCACTGATAACACATATCCACCTATTATTGCCACTATTGCTGTAATGGTAAATGGACTAAACTTATATAGTGCTTTTCCAGTCTTTTTGACCACTCACAGCGCTTTACACTGTGTCACATTCACCCATTCGCACTCACCAACGCACACACATATTTATACACCAATACGCAGATCGGTTATTTGAGGTTAAGCGCCATCGACATGTGGCAGGAGGAAGCTGGAATCGAACCTACAACCTTCCATTAGCTACAGTCGCCCAATACGTAACACGTCTAGATATTTGCAAATATTACACTGGAGTCCTAATAAATAAATTATCAACTTGTATTTGTTGTGTGTCTTTGTGAAATCTTAATTGTTGATTTAGAAAATCAATTCCAATTAGATTTGTTTGAGATAACGACCTTTAAGCAGGTCCTATACATAATTTTCATAAAGTCTCAAATTGTGTTGTAAAAATGTTTTCTTCTATTAGGCTGAGGAAATTTTCTAATCTTAAATGTGAGGTTTTAAGTCAGCTGGAAGCAGAACATCATCATAATTAAATAAAATAAAGGCCTGAAAGTGTGATCTGTAGTGTTTGTACATATCTGGTTTCAACTGTCTGTGAGTGTGTGTATGAGTATGTGTGTTAAAGTGCTTTAAAAGACATACTTCACACATACACACACCTCGTTGGAAACCTTATGATTAAAAAAATAATAAATTACACATATTAATACATCCTATATTTTAACATTTAAAATCACAGTGTTGATCAAATGGCAAAGCTCATTCACAAATACCAGATGGCATTAATAAATTATACTATACTCTATTCAGATTTTTTTTCAGTCACTGTCCTGTTTTACAGATTAATAATTTATATGTTGTAAGTTAGTTGTAATATACATAGGAAGGATCTTTTTAATAACTCTTAGACTGAGGACTGAATCCTCAGACTGGTGCTACAAACAGACATGGCTTCAAGTTCCTTAAGTGCAGCAGACCGACTGACTTCAGTCCACCAGAGTCAGATTTGAACCCCACATCACTCTTACACATCCAAAAATGAAATTGACCTATTAATTTTTCTTTTCTATATATTTCTAAAGATTTAAATATATATTTTTATGTCGTTACATATTAATTTATAAGGCTTTTCATTTTTCTTGAGCTATCAGGCTGAGACTAACTCTAAGATTCGATTAGGTCAGTATAGAGGAAGTTCTACCTGTATAGTTTACTTTCCTGATTTACGAGGCTGGCCAGCTGCCGGGCTGCTTTCGGGTGGTTTGGTATCTGCAGCTGCACTTCTATTGCACAGATCCCTGATTTCCAACAGGCCCTCGTTTAGGGCTTTGACGAAAACGGCCGAGCTCGTCTCCGTGTTCTCCCAGAAACTCGCCACGCTGAAGACAATATGATGCGGCTGCGGGTTGTAGCAGGTGCCGTAGCCGTTGGGCACCACAGGTCCATAGCAGCAGAACATCTCCACTGTTGTAGGAACCTAGAGATAAACACATACAGTTCATAAATTTTTGAGTGGCTTGGACATTTTGATGTTATTCCCCGTATGAGAAGAGCTGTTGTCATTTTTTTCACAGTCAAGTAACGTAAGAATAAATTTTCTTGTAACCCAGGAAATGACACAACTGGAACTTCTTTGTTTTTACCTGCCAGGTCTCTTTTGATTAATAAAATATCCTCTTTTCTATAGTAGACGACTGATCAGTGTATCTTTTTATCTGTGCTAACAATTTCTGTTATATTTCAACTCTCAAGGTTAATATAATTACCTCTTAGCCAAGCACTATAGCTGCTTCTTCTGTGGAAAGTTATTGTTAAAGCTCCTTTCATCAACCTGATGCATGCGCTCGTTTAAAGCATTGTATAAGAAAAACTAATTATTTAAAGTGTGGACATTAAGTGCTGCCAAGAAAGTGTCCAATGGGGGAAAAAAAGAGGTCTGAAAAACCAAACGTTTTGCTGAGGCAGCTCGTTTTACTGGAGTCTGAAATTAATAAGACTGCTTGCAACAAACACTGAGCCATCAGAATGAGTCTGTGCAACTGGATGAGCTAAATATCTTAATTGGCTCTAAAATGGTGTTGCACATTTTTTATTGTTTCGTTCAAGATACTGCAATCACACTCTTTAAAAGTTCTCTTTGCGAATGTACGAACTGCATCTTTACTGAACCAAAGATTATATTACAAATTCATTTAAGTTTTAAAAAATCCTCAAATCCTTTCAAAAGGTTCAGGATTTTTTAGAAAGTGAATAGTAAATCATTGTACCTGACTAGTAGAGAGGATGAAATGGTTACTGGCCAGATACGTCTCGTCACAGAAGATTTCTGGCTTCTCCATGTTCAGCTCCTTTGAGACCTTCAGAAGTCCAAGGAGGTGATTGTCTATTGCCATTCCTGTAATTGCCTGAGAAAAAATCAATACAATTAGAAAACCAAATTGGTGTTTCAAGTTCTATAAAACAGCCGCCAAACATTTATGATCAAAGCCATTGCTTTGGAGAAATTTTGATCCAGAATTGTCTTAATTTGGACATAATTTTAGGCATTAAAATCTGGTCAAAGCTTCTCCATTGCTTTTACACATAGATTTTGACTAGTGCAACAGAGAGAAAAGCATGTGTATGAACACTAGGCTACTCTAGAGCATCACAAAGTGATGAGGGTTCGTTCTCTTTGGATCGTAGATCTAGAGTTTTGCCTTTCACCTCAGTGAATTGGATACAAATCTTTCAAAACATTTCCCTTTTTGCTCATCTGCCAAAGAATATCCCCCAGTTGTGTTTGGAACATTCAAGATATTTACTTAACAAATCTAAAATGGGCCTTTGGGTTTTTTTGTTTGTTTTAGTTTTTTTTATATATATAAATAATTAATCTTGGAGAAGTTCGTTAGAGTCCCAAAGCCTAAGAAATGTGATTGAAACCCTTTCCAGACTGATGGAGGTCAGCAATGCCATTTCTTTTCAGTTCTGGTATTTATTTAGATTGAGGTTTGTTATGCTGCATCTTTAAGCCTACTTTATAATATACTGACCTAATGTGTCATTTAAAAAATTATCTTATGAAAGATGATCAGAATATATTTGTATATTTGATCATAACCCTTCCAACAGACACGGTACTCACTGCGATTGTGTAGTCTGTCTGGGCCTTCACCGCATCCTTCAATCGTTTCATTTTTTCAGAATCCTTGGAATGGTCAAAAAAGATAAAGACAAGATATATTTTTCAAGCACCATAAAACACATCAAGCGGTGCAGCATATTAAGTTTCATGCATTGACTAAATCTGCAGGGAGATCATCTGTTTGACTGGAGTCCCTTGGTTTGGCATGCCTCTAACTGGCTGTTCACACCTGACTCATTTATAGGTGACCATTGTTCTGGGAGTTGATTAACAGGAAGAAAGTGAGACAAATGACTCACTGTGAAAGTTGATCTCTCGTCGGCCATGGACCTCACAAAGGCCAGGGCCTCAGCTGTGGCTGAACGGATGTTATCTACCCGACCTTCTTGAAAACGACGAAGCGAAGCACTTTCATACGTGGGCACCAGCCTTCCTCTGCATCTAAGGGTTTTTATTTGAAGCGAGTGATTATATTCTCATGTTCTACATGGTGTTTGCTATGTACCGTGCCAATGGTATACTTTACTTGTAAAATGCAAGCTGCAAGGAGATTTGTATGAATGCATCTGGGCTCATCTTCTGTTTTTTGATAAATTCTTTTCCATAAGTTTCAAATGTGAAAACGTCCATATCTAGATTGTTCACCAGCCTGAAGTGAAACATGAAAGAGTATGAAACAGAACATGAAACAAGAATATTTGTAATCTCAGTGCCTTGAAAAGTATTAATTTTCCTTAAACTCTTACACATTTTGTGGCATTATATTCTCTAAATTAAATGCTTTCATTGGGATTTTATATGATAGACCAACATTAAGAGGAACACAAATGCAAAGTGGAAGGAAAAGAATTTGCAGCTTTCAAATATTTTTTGAAAAGCTATGTAGGAAACAACAAACTTGTGAAAATGGTTGTGCTGAAGAGATGAGACAAACACTCCACTCCATTATGAAACATGGTAATGGTGGTGTTATTTGTTCAGAACAGAAAAGTAAATGAGAGAAAAGATTAAACAGAATATAGAAAAATCTTTGAAGGAAGCCTGTTAAAGACTTGCCTAGAGAGAGCTAAAATTAAATGGATTCAAAAGCACAAATTCACAATCCAATTGAGAATTTGTAGCAAAATTTGAAAACTACTGTCGCACTATTGTAGTACTCCTTTGCAGAAACAAGGTCCTGGTTTTGAAACCCGGTTTGAGGTATTTCTGCATGAAGTTTGCATGTTTTGCCCCTGCATGCGTGGATTTTCTCCAGTTTTTCTCCAGGTTTCTTCCCACAGTCCAAGAACATGAGTGTTAATTGGCTTCCTAAACTGCTCTTAGTGTGTGTGCATGGTTGTTTGTCCTTGTGTGTCTCTGTGTTGCCCTGCGATGGATTCACAGCCTGTCCAGGGTGTACCCTGCTTTCTCCCCCAGTGACCTCTGGAGATAGGCACCACCTCCCCCGCGACCCTGCATGGACAAGCGGGTATAAATGATGGATGAATGGATGTTCACAGATGCTCTGCCTCCACTTTGACTTAGACTGAGCTGGTGTGGAAAGAGGTTTATATAAAAATTTAAGAAAACCCAAAAAGATTCGCTGCTATAATTACAGTGAATGGTGTAATACAAATCAAAGACAATACAACCAATGTTGTATTGCTTAATAATAATTTGAAAAACTAAAAGAAGTTTCGTTTTCCTTCCATTTCACAATAAGACACTATTTTTTTGGTCTGTTACCTAAAATTTCAATCGAGTTTAAAGTAATTTGCCATAACATAACAAATTCAAAACTTCTAGAGATTTAAATACCTTGACAAGGCACTGAATTAATACATTTAGATTAGGAAATGTTTGTGCACGGTATTCTTGCCTCTGCAGTCTGTCTCCAGATGCTTCTAGAAGAGCCTGAATGTGGGAGTTGCATTTCCACAGCAGCCTCCTTGGAGAGGGGAGTGCTTTGGTGCTGGACGACTGAACCGTCCTGGAGGGACTCCCTGTTCTGATCACAACAACAATACCCTGCCTGTGTCAGATGCATTGACTGGCATGGCAGTAGTCACTGAAGGGTGCTGACTTACATGTGTTTCATAAGGAACTCTGAGCACTGCACCATGACTATTCCCTCAAACGGGGAATGCTCGCACACCACACCACACACCCCATCCATTCCTACAACAAACTGAGAGAAGGTGGAGTAAATAGTTGCCCAGATTATAACACTGAAGTGACTGTATTAAAGCCTCACCTGCATCGATTTATCATACCAGCGGTTTGCACCATTTCGTTCCCTGCCACCACCATGCAGCATCATCAGGGCCCTGTTGGTGTCGCTGGGCGGAATGCCGCAGGGCTCGTCCAAACACACCACACATATACAGCTCTCAATCAGAGCCAGAGAGTCACTGTTAGCTTGATCTGGACACAGTAAGAGGGGAGAGGAATTTACATGTCTGACAGGTTATTACAAACCCAAGAAAGTAATGAGGAAGGTGAAGGAGGTACTAGGTGACCTTTTATTAATGCTTCCCTAGCTTGTGCCCATTCAGTCCTTCCATCTGAGGTCAGGATCCCAAAAGGAGGAAGTCTCTCTTCAGCATTTTCCGACATTTTCATAATCCTCTCCAGCTGGAGAAAGATCTCTGCCTCATTGAGCTGCTTGTTGTTTGCGATTACATCCAAGAGGAAAAACTAATGAGGAAAAACAGATTTTCTAATTAGTAAACAAAGGGGAATTTTTATCTCAGTCTAAAATACTGTGAAGTTTTCAGAGATTTGTTAGATGACATTAATGAACAAACAGAATCTTGAGGACCAAGGAACACAGCAGACAGCTCAAGGGTTAAGCAGCAAAAGCTTTGGATACCTTAAAGAGTTAGGTTTCTAAAAGTGGAAATGGAAAGAGCATGAAGACTCAATAGACTTAAAGCGACAGGCTGTCTAAGAAGAGGGTAAATAAGAGAAGCAGGGAGAAGCCTGGTTGGATCAAAATTGAACTTTCTGACTTACAAAATATGAGCTGTGGAAAAATATTTATGCTGTTTTGACTAATCATCAAATCATGAAGCAAATTTAAATACCAGGAAAGAAATCCTGAATGCATATTTAAATGATTTAATTTATTAAACAAAAACCATGAATCTAATCCTGCAATCCTGTTCTTACTACCTTAGACAGCTGGCAAAAGCACAGCCGATTCTTTTGAAACAACAATTTGAAAAAGTAATTAATCCCTTCATTGTATCCTGGCTTGATTACTGTAACACTCTTAACCTTGGAGTCAGCCAGTCCAAGCTCAAATGTCTGCGGATAGTCCAGAATGCTGCTGCTCAGCTTCTAACAGGGGTTTGGAAATAGGGAGCACATCACCCCACACCCCAACTCCTCTTCACTTGCATTTTAGAGCTCATTTAAGATTTTCTTATTTGTTTTTTTTTTTTTTTTTTTTTTTTTTTTGCACCATGCCAGGAGGGTCTGTGGAATTGCTTTTCAAGGCTCTTATAAATTGTAATAATCAATCTGACTGAGAATGAGCTATCTCCAACCGTAACTGGGGCAAAATGTGATTGTGTGAAATATGGACTCAGGAGGAAAGCAAATGCATGTGAAAACCTTGGCAAGGCTTTGTTGTAATTTGTAAAAATGACTTCCTGGCAAATAAGTGTTTTTATCTGTGGCACTGACAGTTCTGGCATGAACTAAAAATGCCCAGTTGTTAGTATCCAGCTAACAACAGCTAACTACCATTCATTAAAAATAATGCTACTGGAAGAAGAGCTAAAGCAAAGTGGCAGATTTAATCAGCAGCGATGAAGCTAACTCCTTCCTGTTTCCACAGAGACAGACCTTTATATTCAACAGACTGCTGAATGCTCCCAGAGCCGTTTCCAGGTGAGAGCTCCTCCAGATGTTGGTGGCGCTGGCTTGTATGCATTTGTGTGAATGATGAGAATTGCTCGGGATTGGTGTGCTTTGGGGGAAACGAGACGGCACTGGGCACACATAAGGTATGAGGGAAGCTGTTTTGGGAACAGTTAAGTCTTACACCACAAAATCTCTCATAAAAGACATTTAAAGTCACAAAAAATGTTTTTAGTTATATTTTATTGCAATACCATCAGCCTCTGCTGGAGTGAAGTTCAGATTCTGCAGTCAGAGGAGCGATATCAATCTGTCAGTTGTTATAAATACGCACAAAAATTGTTGATGTTTCTCTTGCGTATCTCATATCCTATGTAAATCAGTGTTTTTTTTTCCCTCTTAGCTGCTACTGTTCTATTAAAACTTTGGTTTCTAACTCAAAAGAGGACATATGTGACTATTATCATGGATAAAAAAGCTGTCTGTCATTTAGAAGGCTTACTTCCTCATCCACGTAATCTGAAAAATCTATTCAAATGGACACATCAGAAAAGAAAACCACAGTTTCCTGAAAGCGTCTGTGTGTTTTTAAACCTCAAAATTTGACACTGAGCCATGTGTGGCTCACCACACTGGAGTTTCAATGTCTTATTCCTGACAATATTAAAATTACAGATGAAGCTACCAGGTCAAATAGAAGTTATATTGTTGTTGAGCAAATGAAAGGGACTGTTGGAATCAAAGTGATGACATAATGTGTCTGGAGGTCAGCATTAAATACGTTGTCAAATCTGTTGCACTAAAGCTTTAGCAAAAAAAAAAAAAAAAAAATTACATTCTATATTCATTTTCATAATTCAGCTGTAAAATGTGCTATTTTTTTATGTTGCACTGAAATATGATCAAAAAACATGGAAACATCTTTAAATTAAACTGCAGCACGTGTTCTTTATTTGTCATCATTTACTAACTCTATCTTGCAAAAGTTCCTGAAATTGATCAGATTGTGAGGATAACTCCGGCCCCCCTTGAAGTGACTGGAGAGTACAAGAGACTGTTTTCTCATGACGAAAACACCCATTCTTTGCCAGATCTCCTTGAATTTACCTTCTAAATTGTGATCTTGATCTGAATTAAGGCTCCCTCCTGTTTGGTACGTACTCAGAAAACCTTTCGATGAACATCCTTGGAGGAATTTTCATTAGATACTCTAACCACCTTAACTGATTCCTTTCTAAGCCAAGCTCGTCGCCATATTTTCTTTTTCCAGGACTTCATTCTTCCAGTCACGATTCTTCACCACAGAATCTTCCATCTATCTGGTTTGACAACTGCTTTAGGAGTCAACCACGTCCTAAAGGCTTCCTTGTTGAACAAGATGGCTTCCATCACTGGTCTACTTTTACAGTCTCTGGTTGCAGCTTCAGCCGGGATTTTGACCTTTGCCACGTCTGCAATGGATGATCCATCCTTATTATTGGTGAATGGCCTCCATGGAGGGAGCCTCCTGTTGCCTTTTTGAACTGACTTTGGAGCCACCCATCCAGAAGGGTGTTTGGGCCCCATATTTAAGGTAAGGAATGCCAGTGATGTAAGTAAGATCTTGACTTCGGTGTTAACCAAAGAAGACTGAATGTTGAAATTAAATCAAAATCATGTGAAATTCATTATTTTACCATTGTGGACACTAAATCACAAAAAAATGTCTTGACAAAGCCACCTCTTAATAATGCAGTATTATGTTCAGTTAGAAGTGTGTGTGTGTAATGAAGCCTTGTTAACAGATATTTAACTGACCTGGTTTTTGCACGCCACGATCATGTGCTCTGGTGCCGAGGAGGCAGCGTTCGAGTCAACCTTCAGCGTGTCCGTCTTCAGCCCCGGGTAGCGGTAGGAGGTGAAGAGGCGGTAATACTGCTCCATGCACAGAGGAGTCCCTGCTAACTGGCCTCGAGCAAAATCCAGAGGCAGCTTTTTCCTTAAACACACCATTACAGACATTTGAGTCAGACCTCCGACTGTTTCAGGACTAATCAGAAGCACCTACAATAAGGTAGTTGATCAGTTACAGACTGGACTTACGCATCAATGAGAGCTTTATACTCCAACACTCCACAAACGAGACGAGCAGCAAATCTTAGGAGAGCAGAAATTGATGAAATTTTTAAAACACAATGAATGTTTGGTGTAAAACACAGAAGCCACAAAGAGGATTGGTTGGTGAGTATAATTCAATAACGTCCCATCTCTCAAAAGGCTAACTGTAATCAAATCATGGTAAATTACTAGGATACAGTGTGTGCATTTATCTCTGTGTGTGAGCAGGCAAACTTGTCAGGTCTTATGTTGTATGTCATTTGTCTCAGTGTTATTACGTTCAAAGCCAAATCGATGCAGAGGAGACAGTTGCAGCACACCAAACCCTCTGACTGAGGCCTGAGCGGCGGTCTCTGTGGAGAGCTTGGCCCTGTCACTCCCGATCTAATAAGTGGCCGCGTCAGAAGGTATCCAGCTGTTTTTGTGTGTGTGTGTGTGTGTGTGTGTGTGTGTGTGTGTGTGGGGTGGGGGTGTGTGTGTGTGTGTGTGTGTGTGTGTGTGTGTGTGTGTGTGTGTGTGTGTGTGTGTGTGTGTTCTGGAAACAGTCAGCTTGTAGGTCATGAGCTGACAAACGCTGATGTCGGGTTACAGAGATGGACGGAGCAGACATCATGCCTGGTGGAGCAGGGTTCACTTAATAAATGGGCATGACTGTAATTCAGATCTTAATCTAAGCATCTCTGTCTGTTGAAATGAACATAAACCTTGTCAATGGCTGACAAACTCGACATGTATGTTTCATATTGTTTGTAATAAATGTGGAATTTTGGAACATTACGATAATCCCTCTCAACAGGCCACAACTGACAGGATTGATGCTGCCTGCACTGATGCTACAAGTCGCTTTGCTGCCTATTCTTTCCTGTTGCATTTCTCTAAGACAGTGTTTGGTGTCAACAGCAAAAAATTATTTTTTTTGTTAATGAAACAAAAAATAAAGATTCTGTTATTATTTTTTAATTTTTCCAAAAATGTTTCTACTGTGTGATATGTGCTCAGTATGCAACCCTTCTGAGTTAAGGCTTGATAGAACCTCAATTATTTAAAGACGTCTAAGTCAATCATATTGGATGGAGGGCAGCTGTGAACATCGATTTTTCAAGTCTGGCCACAGATTGCCAATTGGTTTTAGGTCTGGACTTTGACTGGGTCATTTCACCAAATGAGCTGGATTTAATGTAATCCCTCCTATTATAACTGTGTCCGTCTGTTTAGAGCATTTGTTGTGCTGCAAGATGAACTTCTGTCCCATTTCAAGTCTTTCACAGCCTCTAACATTTTTTATTCCAGGGCTGCCCTCTATTTTGTTTTATTAAAAAAAAAGAAAAATGTCAGCAAGGAAGAGATGTTGCCACTTACTATGCTTTATGGTGGAAATGATGCGTTCAGGGTTGTGTGCAATGCTGGTTTTCCACCACATGCTACATTTGTCATGTAAACCAACAGTTGTATGTGAGATGTTCAAAGGCTGGGATATTCTTTTTTTGATATATAAAGCCAGATTAGTGTAAAGATGCATAAAATTATTCATAATGTTACCCCTGGCTCAAAATTATGCAGTATTTTTCAGTCAGTCATACAAAATCCCAATAAATGATCTTAAGAGTCAAACCAGAAATGAAGTAAGTGAAAAAGTGGTTTTATATTGATATTTAAAAGATGAAAACTTTGTGCAGATGCATTCAGAAAAGTTTCAACTTGTATACTTCAATCTTTTGTTTATCATGTAAAGTGTTCCTTTTGTAAGACATTTTTCACAGTCTTCATCCTGGCTACAAACAAACTGAAATAGAATCTACAACTTAGAAAATAAAAAAGCATCATATACCTGAGAGCATCTTTGTGATCTCTGAAAGCCTGTTTTGGAAACACCATGGCAGGATTGGAGTTAACTGGCAGGGCCAACCTATTGTTTAGGTACATGTCTTCCAGCCAGTAGTCATAGACCTGAATGGAAGCACAGGGACACTTTGTAAGAAATATTGCTCTTTATTTAAAGCTCTATTGCTTTCAGATATAAGTACAATGGGCAATGGAGTAAAGAAAAACAATGCCGTGTATCATCCACCAGGTGAAAAGAGGAGTGGGAGTGTGATGGACTTCACTGAGCTTGACCACTTACCCAGACACAGAAGGAAAAAAATGAGGTGGCAAAAGACATGGGAATGCTCTATAAATCCTTTTTAGTGACTGAACTTATGAAATATTATTATATACACAAAGGAGAAACACATACACATATTCATGAAGAAAAAAACAGATGCAAGAAGCTTTATTGATGCAAAAAAAGAAAAAAAAAGACTCTCAATTGAACTGATTTTTTTTAAAACTTTACCCAGTTAGCTTTTTTATCCTTCCGCTCCAAAAGTTTCTTCTGAAGAATCTCCCCGACTCCTCCAGGAGCCCCAAACTTCTCCACAATGGCCTTAGTCTTCTTAAACTGCTCTTCTTTCACAAGATGCTGGACGCATTTCAGGTAGGTGTCGAGGGTTTGTTTGAGTGGGGGCACAGGGACCTTCGGCAAGACCTGAAGTAAAAACAAATACAGCGTTGGGTAGAAGTCTTCACAAACTCATTGTAAACTCATTGACAATGATTCAAACTGCTCTTTCTTCACTGTGGAGGCAGGTCTTATCAAATTTCTTTAATCTAAAATTGGACAAATTTGTATCTACAGGCTCAAATGTGCATGCATCCAAAATAACATGCTTAAATGTCCAATGACAGCACAATTTCGCAATAACAGATTTATCCAGAAGACATTTTGCTTGTCCATCTGTTTAGCCGCAAATTTCAGCCAATCTTGAATTTGTTAATTTTGAAGAACAGGCCTTTTTCTTCCTCAGTTCAGTGTGATATAAAACTGAATTCACTGTGGACCATGATACTAGTACTAATATATTCCAGTTTACGAATGGCTTGAATGTTCCCTTTAATGGAGTCTTCTCACATCTAAATAAAATAAAATTTGGTTGGAAAGTTAAAGGTAAAAAGGCATAAAGACGCGATTAATGTCTACATGTAGTTGGTTGTGTTTGGTGGACTCGACCAAACCCAACCAACTTGACTTTTAAACTAAATTTTGTCGGATTCTGTTCTTAGGGGAAAAAAATAATCAAAAGTGAATTCACACTCGTGAAAGCCTGAAAAATATATGAAGTCCACACTTATGTGTGTTTCTACATTACTAATACACTGCAGTCAATGAGAAGCATACAATTACAGAAGCTCCTCTACATCTGTATGTATTTCCATGGTTATTTTTTCTTTAGATAAAGATGTTTTGATGTGAATCTGGTTTCATTGGGGTCTGAATTAACATTTAATCCCATTGGCTCCCAGGCCTGTCTTAGAATAAATTCCACCACCTCCTGGGTTTTGTCAGAAAATCCAAAGTGATTAAGTTTTCTGTCTGGTGTTGCTATGCATACTGTTTATAAGCCAAGTGATAAATATTGATAAGTTGGAAGTTGTGGTGATATGAGGCTCCACAGTGGATTTGAAGAAATATTTCCAAGTAGTTGTTATGAAAACTATAAAATATAGTGATTCTGTTTTTCAGCAAACAAACTAATAAGTCATATGAAATTATTATCCCGTTTTCAAGTAATTATCTGAAGACAGTTTTGAAAATGCACCCCTAGTGGTCAAAGGGGGTCTCAGATCTGTGCGCTCTCCGCGGTGCTGGATTCAGCAGCGGCAGTCAGGCGAAAAAAGTTCTTAGTCCAAAATTCAAAAAGTCAAACAAACAAACAAAAAAAAGGTAACATTTCATACTTGGCTGTCTTGGCCTCTTGTCACTTGTTTCGGCAGTGCTGACATTGTTGCAGTTCAGTCCCACCAGATGGAAAATGACCTCTCAGGACCGTCCCTGCTTTGAAACATGGGGGGAACACTGGAAAGAGGACATGGAGGGGAAATGATAAAAAGAAAGACAGGGAATAAATAAAATGACGCCCTTTTGAGAAATGCATCTATGCGTGTTGGAACGACTCGACGTGCTTCCAGTCTTCATCGTTTTGCAGCTTAAGTGCAATTTGCGTCATGTCCTTGAATTCCAGCTGCGCCCCACCGCTCAGCGCCGCAGCGACGCATTCAGCTAAACACTAACTCTCATCATTCAGTCCTGAAGAGACTGGCACGCATCTTAGACAATAGAGTCCATTATCTGAGGTGAACGATGAACGCACCAGTAACAGTATCACTTCATTAATTAAAAGTAATTGAAGGCAACTTGATACAACTTTGTTTTTTTTTTCTTTCTTCCATTGATTGAATACACTGGAGTACGTGTTTTACAGCAAAACCTTGTATTTGTGCAAAATTGTGGGACATACTTAAGTTCTTAAAAAAAAAAAATCAATAATCTCAAAAAGTAGTAATTAGTTACTTAATTTGTCAAACTCTTTAAAAAGTAAAGTGACCAAATGTTTAATTTCAATTTATTTTATTGAGTGAAAAAACGACATAGGCTATATATACATATATATGTTTTTTTTTTACTTTTTTATTTTTTAAATGCACAAACAAATTCCTAAAGTAAGTCAGAATGTTTCTGAAGTTCTTAACAAATTGAGTTTTTTAAAGCAAGCACAAGCTTAATTCAATTCATTTTTATAGCTTCAGTTCATAGCACAAGTCAACTTACAAAGAAAGTTATTTTAATCCAATCACACAAAGGTGACAAAATCTAAATATAATATAACTCTTAAATTATAGGTGAAAAAGATTGTATTAGACCACTTAAGAAAAAGATGAATCGTTATCCAAACTGCAGCTTCAAAACAACGGTTGAAGAAACTAGAAAATAACATCTTCTAGGCAGTTTAAAGTTTGAATGAAATGACATGTATAACAGTGACATCACAAAACTTGAATAAGAAGATTGTGTCTATCATGTTAAAAGTTAAAAACGGAACCCCCCCAAAACGTTAGCCTTTTCAATAAAGTCGGCCGAAATATTTTAAAAGTTCTGGATGTTTTTAAGCAGATGAACCCAATTAAAGGTCAATAAATATTCTTAGACAAGGTAATATTATACGTGCAGAATGAAATGAAATGAAAATCAAATCAATCACATTTTGGAGCTGTAGGAGGGGAAAAAAGCAAAACTTCTTACCTTGTTCTTGCAGCGCTCGGGGAGCCCGAGGAACGCGCTGAAGTTCACATCGTGGTCAGACGCCATTCTCCGCCATCGCTTCGCCGCGATGCTGCGGCTCCACATGAAAGCTCAGCTTAAAAAGATGTTGAAGGTGTTTGCTTCACCTTCTCCCTGGAGGCAGGAAACTCCTCCCATCGAAATCAATTCGTAACATTTCATCCCCCTCCCCTTCTCTCTTCCCCACCCGCATTCACATCCCATAGTAAATTGGACGCATCTTAAGTCCAGTTTCTGGGCTCCTGTCATGACCTGGTGGACAGGGAGCCTGGTGCCTTTCCTAGAATCAATACGCTTTGCAGTTGCCTTTAAACAAGAAGCGTTGACTTTTGAGGAAAGCAAACTAGTTTGTTGCAGGTGTCCGAAGTCTATTTGCATATATATAAATATATATATATTATATGTTTTTTGTTTCCTCATTTTAGTTCCTGATACTTGCGCAACCATAGAATACTGCCTCTCTGTTCTATGGTATTTTATTGGGTTACTTTATCATCTCACTGGACAGACAGACAGACAGACAGACAGACAGACAGACAGACAGACAGACAGACAGACAGACAGACAGACAGACAGACAGACAGACAGACAGACAGACAGACAGACAGACAGACAGACAGACAGATTTATACTTATTAAAAAAAGTGCAAGTTTTACAATGAAGCGGCAACATTAAATAAAAGAAAAAATGATGTCTATCTATCTATCTATCTATCTATCTATCTATCTATCTATCTATCTATCTATCTATCTATCTATCTATCTATCTATCTATCTATCTATCTATCTATCTATCTATCTATCTATCTATCTATCTATCTATCTATCTATCTATCTATCTATCTATCTATCTATCTATCTATCTATCTATCTATCTATCTATCTATCTAAACGAGAAGACTTCGTGTTTTTATTACAATGAAATAAAAACGTCACCACTGTTGTAACACAGATCCAAACAAAGATTTATTAAACCACAGCTCATCCGACTAAACACATTTGTTCATTGTTGTTTCCGTCGTCTTCACACGCACACGCACACACAAAAACAAACAAACAAACAAACAAACAAACAAACGCGTAAACAATTTTACATTGTGCATATATCCACATTATGTACATATCCCGTTTACCATGACACATTTATCTTCAATTATCCACAGAAAAATAAAACGCATCTGGAAAATAATTCACAAAGTCGTTAATCTACGGAGGCCTTTCGATGTGCAAAACTAACTAGAAGATAATGTTCTATTTTTGTGCTGAAGGAGGGAGAGAATGTGCTGCTTACAGTTTGGTTGGTCCCACATATGAATTATTGTATTTATTCTTTTAATATAATACACACAAATTCAACAAGTTCTCTCACAAAAACTCCTGTAGACAAACGCCACATAGACTTTTATTTTTGACACGGTATGACGGGAAAAAGCAAGAAAGAAGGAAGGAAAGAAAGAAAGAAAGAAAGAAAGAAAGAAAGAAAGAAAGAAAGAAAGAAAGAAAGAAAGAAAGAAAGAAAGAAAGAAGGAAGGAAGGAGATAAAGATTAAAGAAACAAACAAAGCAAGACATAAAGAGAGAAAAAAAGAAAAAGAAAAACTAAAGAAAGAAACAAACAAAGAAGGAAATAGATGCTTTGGCGATCATCTCACACTATCATGATTTTCTTGATTGGGTGTTTTATATTGTACATACATAAAAGTTGAAATCACTAGTTTAGGACCTGTCCGCCTCATCCTCATAATAAAACTCCCCACTGCTGGGAATGTCTAGGTGTACTCTGGACCGGAGGACTGTTGCGCTCTGAAGGAATCGAACCCATTTTCGTCCACCGACAAGCAGTTCCCCGACGAACTGTAGCCTTTCTTTTTAGCCCTCACCTCCTCCAGCTTGATGGTGTCGTACAGCCCCTGCGGAGCCTCGTCTAACAGGTTATCCCTTTCCGAGTAGGACGGTTTCATTTGGCACACATTGCGCAACAGCAGCAGCGCCGGCGCGTAAAGCACGTTGACCAGACCCATGCCCAGATTTAGCTGGACGAAGCCAAGGTTGTGCACGATCTGGCCGGCCACTATCGGACCCATAGCGTAAGCGATCGAATACGAGATATCAGCGATGGCATAAACGCTGCCGTACACGGAAACGTGGCGCACATCGACCAGGAACGCGAGTGTCGGCAGCAGCGCTGTGTCCACCAGCGCAATGCCGAAACAGATGCCGCACAGCGGGGCGATGAGCTGCCCGAAAGTTTTGCATGCAGGGACCGTGCATGAGCTGGCCCCTATAATCACCATGCCTAAAGCCCCGTAAAACCACTGCAGGTGGGGGTTCTTCGCGGCCAGCTTAACAGTAATGTACACACCAAGGATGTGAGGGAAGAAGGCCGGCAGCCAGGTGAGTCCCATCTCCCACTGGGTGGAGTGCATGGTGGTCTCCATCCAGTTGGCGATAGTCGGCTCCAGGAAGGCCAGCGGGATGTTGGCCATGGTGAGCGCCCCGGCCACCACGGCGATGTAGGGGTCTACCATGAGTCTGTATATCGGGGTACCGACTGGCATGTTCTCCCGAGTCCTGTTGGAGAAGGGCTTGATGACAGTAAGCAGCAGAAAACCGTCAGCCAGGCAGACAGTGGCGAGAACGATGAAGGGAACCCTCTTTCCGGCGAACTCATACAGGACGCCCCCGAAGGGAGGCGCCACCAGGCTCCCGAACGAGATGAACGCCAGGGAGATGCCGAGCGCTCGGCTCCTCTCCGCTTCCACCGTGTACTTATCAGCGATCATCGCGAAGCCGGAAGTGTCGGCGAAAGCAGAGCCCAGACCCTGCAGGCTCCTGGCCACGAAGAGCGTCGCGTAGTTCTCCGCGAAGGCGAAAATGCATGTGGAGACGAACATCACGGTGAGCCCGATGAGGAGGGGAATGTCGTATCCGACTCGATCTATGAAAGTTCCTGAGAGTGGGTTGACCAGGAGCTGCAGGATGGCTTTAGAGGCGAAAAGGACTCCTATTTGGATGTCCAAATTGTCCTTGTTGCTTTTGTCTTGACTTGTGCTGTTGGCTGAGGAAGTATTGGGGTGCAGCACTAAGTGGACGTGCTCTGATTGCTCGCTCTCCAGGTCAGCAAGATAGTCTGGGATAATTGGCACAATGACCATGTAGAGCATATTGTCCAGAAGAAGAGCCACGCAAACAATCACTAATATGATCCGCTTCTGCTGGTGAGGGTCTCTCATCGCGGAGCCCAGCTGCTTGGTCCTCTCGCCCATCTCGGACAGTTTTACTGCGGCTGATTTGGCCAGTCCGAACGATCCTCCTTCTCCATCCATGATGTGATTCCCCCCTTTCTCTTATTAAAAAGTTAAGAGTCTTAGTATAAAAAAAAGGAGAAAAAAAAGAAAAGTATTTGTGCTTCCGATCTTTCAGAGTCTTGATGTGGTGGTCTCCGTCCTCGCCTCGCCTGTGCGTAAAGGGAGAGGCGCAGGGGAACTTGGCTGCCTCATCGGGGAGGAGATGGCTTTCTTCAGCTTCCTCCACTTGTTCTCATGCGATGCACTTTCATGATCTCCCGAGAAGTGACGTGGTTAAACAGATTCAACTTCTGCAACTTTGCAGAGGTTTCTTTTGAGCCACTTTTTTCCACATGGCAAAGTTTTCGATATAGAGATTAATTTTTGCTGCCTTCTACCCGCAGACACTGTGACGCTCAAAGCAGCTCATGTCTTCAATCACCTGTGGCACTTTTCTTCTCTCCGCTCTGAGACCACAAATGACTTGGTGGCCATTGGTGCGCATTAACCCGCAGGTTCTGCGCTATTTCAATGCTCTTTTCCTTCCACCTCTATCTCCTCCCGTTTTTTTCTCTCTCTTAAGGAGCTGTGACGCACCACCGGCTTCCCACCGAGTGGGTCCTTTCGCCACTTGCTTCCTTTATGGTAATTCTACAGTAACTTCAGCCAATAAGAGGAAGTGATGACCAGAAGATCAAAGACGGGGCAAAAAACAAACAAACAACAAAAAACAAACAGACTTTTTGCTGCTTGTTTCCGGCACACAAAAGTTATAAATTGTGAAATTAAATATCTTAATTTGAGATTTAAACTTGAGTTTCATAGGCATTATTTCTAACTTAAGTTGCGATTTTCATTCTCAAGTTCATCATTCTAAGATGTAAAATTATAATTTTGAGTTTCGAACGGATGCTTTTGACTCTCTAAATAACAGATTCCAGATTTAAAGCCAGAATTATTGACTGAATATCATGCATGTGTAAAATGCGGTGGCAAAATTACTAGACTGATTGTCATTAATTTAGAAATGCTCTATAAATATGTCATTAAGGAATAAATGGAAAGAAGAAAAGCATTGTAGAAGTAACAAACAAACAAACAAACCAAAAAAAGTAATTGGCCCTGGTCACTCAGTTGTTGCGGTCAGATTAGACCCAAACTGAAACTTTTATTGCCATGCAAAACACTATGTGTGGAAAGAAACTGCACTGCAGTATTTGTCACCAACCATTACACCAACCCTGGTGACAAATACTGGTGGCAGCATTGTGGTGTTTTTGCTTGAACATACCACAATATTGAAATCAATATTCCAAACCACAATATACAAATGAACATAGTTTAAATTTAAACTATGGTGGAGCTGTCCTGTGGCTCTGCAGCTCCACCAGACAACAAAATCAAGTCAACCACAGTCTATATATTCAAATAAAAGATTAATAACTCTGAAGAACAAATTAAGTTTTTGCCAGGTGAGGTGGGTACACGACAATGCTTGGTTAGCATCTTTTCTTTCTTCAACCCACATCATTTAGTCTGAGAAGACAATATTTGGGTTCTGGTGAATTAATGATACTCTCTAGATGTAACTCATTTCTTGGAACCAGGCGTCTCCAAAATAACACCCAATACACTGGTGGGAATGAAGTGGACCTCAAAGGTAGGATTGGAAATTCTGGCATGAAGTTCAGGGAGGTATTTATGTAGATAATACTACCACCTAGTGGTGATTATCAGCAGGTGCACACAGGAAAACGTGGACATCGCCTTTGACTATTGCCTTTACCTTTGTAAGGTGTTAAACTTTATTTATATAGCACCTTCCACAGGATAAAACCACGAGTTGCTTCACAGTTTCACAACCATAAAACACGGCAGAAAAACAAAACGTTAAGTAGAATAAAATAGTATACATCATACTTTTAACCAGCATAAAGCAAATAAAAGCCCATCTGAACAAAAGGGGCTTTGTCTGCTTTGTCTTAAAGAGTCAAGAAAGTTCAGAGAAGAAGGTAACTCATTTCAGCTGTTAAATGTTGTAATTTCCCTCGGTTTCACGTTTTGTTCAGAATCAAAAATTGTCTAAATCTTCCCAGAAGAGGGAAGCAAAGACTTGCTCATAGCAATAATGGCTTTCAGTTGGCAGCACACAGTGTGACTGCTGCCCCTGAGGCGTTAAAGCAAGAACGTTTCAGCAATGGAATTTCGATTTCTGCAACAATAGAGTCACCTTCCAAAAATGATGACATATAAGGCATTTATTTATTTATTTATTTTCAAAAGTTGTCATCCCCTTTTCACCAAAACATAATTTAGGCAGAAAAAGAAATCCCTGTAGGCAAAAAATGACCAAGGCCATTATTTTAGGAAGATGGGGTGGGATATTTGTGGAGCAATTTTGCTATTTGCTATTTTCAAGACATAAAAATAGCAAAAAGAATGTTGAATTTTGCTGATGATGCAGCCAATGCAGATAATGATTAAAATCAAAACTCTTCCTTTAACTGTACGTCTTATTTATCGTCTTGATTTCTCTATGAGACGTTGCAGTTCTTTTAAAACAGTAGATTATATTGTCCGCTGCTCTCAGTATTCAGTGGATTATCTGAAGTAGAAAAGGCATGAATACACCAACTGGAGGATTAGTACGCCACTGGAAATAACTGCCCAATTTTACTAATGACAGAGGCTTGGCACTGCAGTAGCCATTACATAAATACTTTTTTTTGTAAATGCATTTATATTAAAATCCTATACTGCAGCTATGCCTTGACTTTTTTTTCTTAATACATCTGTCAGATGAGAGGCTTTGAGGAGCTGTGACTGTATGGATAATCTCTGCCGACTCGTTATTTTAAATTGTCAGAATCAAATGGACGAGTGTCAGAATAATCCTCATGAGTTACTGTAATCTTAATGTGTTGACATTGTGAATAAGAAGTGTATTATGCAAAAAAGGAAAGATTCATCTTCCTCTATGCAAATGGAGTCTAATCCCCTAAAAGATATGTCATACAAAATCCTCATGATATATATGACATCTTTAAATTAATCTGTTGTGATTAGTTAAAATTGCACTTTCAGTCTATCTCTTAAGAACTGCAAAACCCCCAAACAGAATTACATAACACAAAACTGAGATTTAGACAATACTCTTTTAGTGATGTGTCTTTCTAGGCGGTGATATAATCCCATATGACCCATGCTGGACGTGGGAAAAGCGCCGGTTGCATGAATGCTCAGTTGGGTATCGCTTAATCTGCGATGACCACCGCATCGTTTTCAGATTGGGAAGCTTCTTTCAAACACATTCAGCTGGAAAATAACTAGAAACCGTTTGGTAGGAAAAACCACAACAAGAAACTGGGTATGTGAAATCAATGAAGGAAATAAATTAATGAAAAATCTGAGAAATGATGTGACTGAGTTAGATGAGATTACAGAGCAGCAGATTACAGGTTTGGACTCATGTTTCTGGTGTGTGGAGGGGGTCGATGCTGTGGCGAATGTATTGAGTGCAGTTAAACACTCTGTTGGCCAAACCAGCCAGGAAGTCTCTGGGAGAAAGGAAACTGCCCACAGGTAGCACCGTGAAGCCAGAACACTCTGAATCACACAGGAAGTGATGTCACTGCACCTCCTGACGATGGAATAACAATACTGTTCTGTCTCATTTGCTTAAAGCTTTCTGTTATGATAAAGTTCACAAACTCTAATCACTGAAGTTGTGCTGCTGACTTTTTGAACTATTTTTTTTCTCCTACTGCTCTCCCTTCATGCATTATCAGCTGTTTCTGCTGTTAAAGTTTTAGAACAATATTTTGAAGTGCCATCATAATAAGTGACTATAATCACTATTATTACATAACTGTATGACTTTGTGTATCATAGCAATAAAATCCATACAAACAGATATAATGTGCTTGAAAAATATACCATTTAATACGCTTCTTTGAGACACCAGTAACATAAAGAATAGTGATCGGTGTTACCTTACTGTCAGCTTTAGTATCGTGCCGTCTATAAATCCAAATTCTTATTCTGATAAGGAATTTATCCTTATCAGACTTTTCAGAGTCAATGACATGAATGAAATGTTTTTGAAAAAAAAAAATCAAAAATGGCTCTAGGGGGATCAAAGGTAAAAGGGGCAGGGGCTCAAGCCCCCTCCACCCCCCACTCTACACGTGCCTGGTGCACAAGGTTCAAAGGATTTATGGTGAAAAAAAGTAATGTTTTTCTAATCAGTTTATAATCTTATGTAAAGATTATAAACTGGTTAAATAATGCAGCATTGAACAAAATGATGGTGATTTTAGAGGTAAAATAAGCAATTAACCCCCTCATCCTAAAGTCAGATGTCCCATTAAAGTTCTCATGAAAATTTAAGATTGTGTTTGAACTACAACACAGCAAGGTGTTGCAGGATGTTGCAAAACCAGAAGTTTCACACTCCCATGAATCCTTGCTTTGAAGATCCTGGGATCATTTGTTGACATGTCACAAACACACCAAAACTTGCTTCTAACACACATTGAACCCTTTGACCTACTAGAAAAGCAAAAACAACTTCTTATTACACATTAATGATATCTCAAAGTTCCAGTACATCAGTGGTATTATGACCTTTAAATTGTAAAAAACATCTTGTCATTGTGATGTGAATATTTCTCTATAGTGTCTCATATTTGACCACATGCTGCTGATTTAGACATTTAACAATGTACTTTAAATAATTCCAGAATAGTTAAGTCTAATTAGTAATAAATGTATAAATATATCTGTATTTCTTAGAATAATTATGTGTTGGAAACCTTGATTGCACAAACTCAAGCTACAAAAGTATTTTTTTGCCTGAAATGAAAGTTTGGTTGCCTCCTTGAAATCTGTTGATTTTAAACAATGCATTTGAAATAAAAAGGCAAAATCCATGTTTTCTTCTCAGCTGTGTGAAGTGACATGTCCACACCTCACCCAAAGGTCTCATCTGATTACTTGATGAGCCTCACGACTTCTCCATCCTGGATACTCCAAGCTGCCAGCAGCTGATTTGTGTGCGCTGGTTTACAGAACAGAAGAAACAGATTTTAAAAGAACATGAAGTGCAAGAAGTTTTTGTCCAACCCAATTAAGACCAAGTCCAATTAACTTGGTACAGTGTGGTTTTAATCAAGTTTTTTTTTTTTTTTTTATCATTATTTGCATCTTGCAGTACTGTTTTAATCCAATTTTGTGTAAAGATCCAGAAAATGTTTGTTTTCTTTACTTAAACATGTTCAACATCATCAAGAAAAATATGTGGTCGTCAAAATTTTTTCAAATAAAATTTGTGGTATCCATTTGTGTCGAGCCTCCTTGTATCAAGGTTTTGCTGTGTCCAGTGTTTCTGGATCTCTCTCTTACTGCTGTTCCATCTGCCAGGCTGATTGGATTTGTCTGCCAGCTTTGCATATCTGGACAAATTAATATTGTAAAATTTTTCTCCCACCTTCTGAGATTATTACGCTCCTCTTTGTGTTGGGTCTATTGAATGAAATCCAATTAAAATGCACTTAAGTTAAAAGCTTTAAGGTGATAAAATGTTAATGTGATCCCTAATGCTAATGAAGCGACATTCATTGACAATCGTATTTTGGTGTGTATCAGTCTGTATTCCTACTCTACTGAAACACTGAAGCCCAATTTGAAGCAGAATGTGTTGGTAGCTTAACAAGCTTTAATCTGTTTGCACAAGTAGCTTTACTTTTCTCCTGTGAGTGTGTGGCCACTTTTCCTATCCAAGGCTTTGACCAAATTAGATCACGACTCCTCACACCCTCTAATTTCTGATCAGACGTTAGCCTATTGAACTGCTTTTACCAGGAATTGGATTCTTCAGGCTTCTGGGAAATCCTTCAACAACCCAGGCAAATGAGCTGGCACCTGCAGTTTAAGGAAGAATATTTTTTCTTCAAGTATGTGTTACATCATGAGTGGCTTGTTTGTGTTTATCCAATGCGGAGAAGTCTGTAAGCAGTTTTTCTGAGTCAGCGTCTCATTAGGGCAGTCATTATCTAACAAGTTCAGTCTGATTTGTTCAAAGAAAAAGCTTTGCAGAAGTTCCTTAAGTGAAAAATATCAATCATGCTTCTAAATGTTTAATAGGTACAACCTGCTAGGTACAAAGTTGGTAAATATCTTCCCGAGTGCTTCTCGGGAAGATAGAAATCTTACTTCTGCATTTGATAAAAAAACAAAAAACAAACAAATGCAGAAGTAAGGTAGCAAATGCATGAATTGTTGAAATGATGAAGAACTGTCAACATGTACAGAAATAAGGAACCACCTTGCACTTCGATGTATGAAATTTGTTATATAAGATTTTGACTTCATGTTGATTTTTGAGGCTTTGGACCCGAAACACAACAGACCACATCTCACCAAGCTCAAAATCCATTGGTGCTGCTGGTTTAGTAGTGCAGCCATGAAAGGATCACCAATAAACTAATTATTAAATGCAATAAACTAATTGCATTTGTGCAATTAGTTTATTGGTTTGTATTTAACCAAGTCAGCTAAACACTTATGTGTCTGTGAAAGTGTTACCTTAAGTGTTACAATAAATATAAAACATTACTGTTAACAGCAATGACTGTCGGCCAATTCCTGCTACTGTCATTGAGTATACACTGTGTTCCAAATTATTATGCAAATTGGATTTAAATGTCACAAACATTAAATTACATTTTTTGTTGTGCTATTAAATTTATAGATGGTATTATGAGTCAAGGCTCTTTGAATCACTATAATTAATTTCAGATTAGTTTGTCTGGTCAGCTCAATTAAAGGAACTATACCTAAGAAGGATGTTCCACATTATTAAGCAGGCCACAGGTTTCAAGCAATACAGGAAAAAGAAAGGATCTCTGCTGCTGAAAATCATCAGATAGTGTAGTGCCGTATGACAAGATATGAACATATTAGATATTTAACGAAAACTGAAGCGTTATCATTGTACTGTGAAGAGATTTGTGGCTGATTCAGAACAAATATGGGTTTGTACAGATAAAGGCATAATGAGAAATGTTTCTGTTAGACAAATTTATGGGATTAAAAGAGCAGCTGTTAAAGCAGAAACTTTCCACAAACTCACAAGTTCAATGGATGCAAGAATTGTGCAGGTGATATCAAAGAAGAGGTCCCATGTTAACATGTAACTCGCTCTGTTTAGATGTTTTCGTTTGAAATAGCTTTTGATTTTAGTACATGTGACCACTTAATGCTGCACATTCAAAGAATGACCGTTTGCAGTTCTTTATAATCCATAAAATGTTTAGAAAATCTGCTGTTTGAGTTTTTTTATTTTTGAAAAAAAAATACAGTTCTCATTGGGAGCTTTGTTTAGTAAAATTTGATCATGCAATCAAGCAGGCCGTGCAATGACTAAAGAGCGGACATAAAGTGACTTCAGACTTTCTTTCTTCAAATTTTAATCACATTTATGACGTAATTGATTGCACATGCAAGACAGATTTAAAAGTAGATTAAATAAAAGCCAGTGTGACCTTTTCACCACCTTTGTGACAGAGTGCAGACACCCTGCAGTATTCTAGTCATTAATAACTCCAATGGGAATGAGATTCAGGAAGAAGAGCATAACCAAAAAAGGGTAGCTTAATTGTCAGACTGAGATTTTTACATATGCTTACCCTGAGTATGTTAACAATAGTTCATGACTTGAAAATTATACTGACCATCATTTGCATCGACCATTTAGGAAAAGCTGAGAAAATATCACTTGCATAATTATTTGGAACACGGTGTACTCTAAAGCGTAGCTCCACATTTATGTCCTACATGATGCCAGACTATAACTTTAAATCCCAAATAAATACATCAAAAAGCTGTAACATTAACTCTGAAAAAAAGAACGTCAGTTAACTGTTGACACTTTCCTTGATGTTGCACTTTAAAGGCTGCATTAATGCTATTCATCAGACAACTTGTCCTCCAAAAGACTGAACCACTGACTGAGAGGATTTTATCTGCCGACAGCCAGCCTGAAGGTCAGAATGCTGGGGTTAGTGTAACTAAGACTTGCAGGTTATTTATGGAGAGTATATTTAACTGCTGACAGACAATGACCTAGGACATCAATGACCAATGAATGTCATGGATGTAAAAAAACAAAACAAAAAACAACTGTAACTAAAGTTAAATCCCTTGGTATTGTAATCTTCAAAGAACTTAGCTTGATTTTCATTTTAGTTGTTACAGGTCATTATTCCCCCCATTAGTTGCTTTTGACCACCTCAGCTTCTATTGAGTAGAAAGACTCTATTTGCACAGTTTAAAGTCTGTTTAAAAAAAAATCTTTCTCTTAATCTAGAGTAAAATAACCTCTACAACATGTACGTAATTATTCCTTCATAAATACGCAATAATAATCAGACTCTACGTATAAAAAACTTCAAGTGAAGTAAAATTGTATAAGACAGTCTTAACACAGTAACTGCTTCCTGTCATTAAAGAGATGTTGCATAACCAGCTTTAAAACAAAGTACACAGCAAGACAAACAGCAGCAGCAGCATTCATTTACTGAGCAGAATGTTAATGAGAACATTTGAAGTTGTTTGGTGAAGAAAAGAGTTTAAGTTTCACAAATCCATCATGAGACAAACAGAAAGACTTTCCAGAGGTTTCACTACTGTCTAAGAACAAGTGTGCAGCCATCACAATGGCTTTACATCTCAGCATGTTAGTATAAGGGGCCTATCATAAGAGCCAATTACAGTTTTATATGATTTGAGAAACATGTTAATTTGTTTTATTTATTTGGACTTCTTAACGTCTGGCTCAACAATCTTCTGTCCAGTGAGGAAGTTCCAGACGCCTCCTCTGTAGAACTCATTTCCAAATGAGTAGAGAAGAGAGTTGAAGATGGGATTCGTTTTTGCAACAACTGGAAGCAACTGCAAAAATGACGACAATTTTGTGAGTATTTAGAGGGACAAAAAGTCATTACTGATACACAGGACTCTTAGTCTTGAAATTTTTTAGAATTGTCTATGATTATTCTCAAGATCCAGCAGGGAAAAAGTAAATGGAGTGTGAAAAATATTTAGAGTCTCTAGACTTCCTTTCTTATTTTGTTATAAAATAAACAGCAAACAATAAAGTAAGTTTAAGATAAAAATCTTAAAGGGCTGGATACAGAAACAGCATACTTTCATATAAGAGCTTACCATTCGCAGTTTTGGAGAGACAAGTTTCACGTTCTCAAAGCAGGCATAGATGCACATGAGGACATAAGGGCCCCAACATGACAGCAATACTCTCAAAGGCAAACTGGTGTTAAACTGAAAAATAAGTGGACAGTATTACATGCTGTTTAATTCAGTGTGATGTGATCACAGTAAAGATAGAAGCAGAGAATAGCTTGTCATGTTTAAGGAGTACATGGTTGGATTGGAGGGTTGTGGAAATTTGTGAAACAGAAATTATACACAAAAAAATCTGCCAAGATTCTTTCATATGACGTCTTATATACATATAAAAAAATAGCCATAAATAGTACTTCTATAAAGTCTTTTGAAGGCATGCTGAAGTAACATTAGCCATCATTCTTTATGTCAGAGCCAAATTTCTGTTTAATGCATGATTGAAGCGTATAGTTAACAGCTGTCGAGTTAAATGCAAGCACATAAAAAGTTCAGCTAGCCAAATGTAGCTTCCCTGTGTATCACTGGATAAAACCCAGTGATACCTGCAACTCTTATAGTATTCAAAAAAAGAAAAAATAAGAATTACAACAAAAAAATGGGTCATCAGTCTTTGTTCCAAATAACGTTGAGATCATTTTACAAATATACCCTGTTAGGATTTCCTTTCAAGGCTTACATACTCCTTTTAGATGCTGAATTTTGTGATTTCTTCTTAAATCAACAACTATAAATATACAGTATATAATCCAATTGATTGGCGACCTGTACAGTCTTTCGCCTGCAATAGCAGCCAGCACCCCTCCAAACCCAATTAGGGACAAGGGTTTTAAAAAATGGATGGATGGATAATCATATTGGAAACCATTGAATCTCTTTTCGCGCGTTAATTGTTCCTTCTTCCACCTATATTCGTCTCTGCCAGAATGCAAAGCGTCACCTGGGGACATTTCAGCATATTTACCTTGTGATGATGAATCTTCTTGAAGTGTTTGTAGATGGAATCATAACAAGAAAACATGGTGACAGCTGGGAAAGTCAGGTAGAGCACCGTTAACGTAAGCATGTAGGTAATGTAGTCCCTGTCAGAATGAAAAAAAGGTTTATGGCTAAAAATAAAGGGAATTCTTAAAGAATAATTCATTCTGTCGACCGGAGCGTTAGTCTCAGTATATTCTGTAATTTTACATTAACTCTACCTGTCTCCTCTAGTGTAGTCAAGCGTGCAGCATGTCCTCATTGGCTCAAAGTCATAGACCCCCCATCCCATGAGTGGAACGGCGGCCCAGAAGATGGAAAGAATCCAGATGATGCAGCTCATCGTCACCGTCGTGCTCCAGAAGAGCTTCTGTCCTGCACAGCAGTCAGAGTCGATGCAAGCAAGATGTTTGATGGGAACACAAATTGAATTAAAACATTTTATTGTCTTATTTTTCTTACTGCAGTGAAGATAAATCATTACTTTAGTCAAGTTAAACGCAAGAACATAATTTTTTGCCATTTAGCTTTACAAATTAAATAAATGTATCTGTGGATTACACATGAATTCTTAATTGATGCCTTAAGGGTGAAATAATCTAACAAATATGTATATACAGCATACATCTGACGTCCTAATCTTTAGGTTTGTTCTGTGACCTGTACTATAAAGCAGGATTAGTGGCTTAGTGAGATAACTCCAGGATCAATCTGGCACGAAACTGGTTCAGTAAGGAATGTACGTAAACTTTATTTATACAGCACCCTTTTATAGCTCAAGAACCACAATCACTTCACAATCAATCACTACAGCAACACATGCTGGAAATATTCTGGAATAATGTCCCCTCTATTAACCATTTTTATAGATAAAAAAAAAAAGACATTACTGGAAAAAAGGTATTACTGAACAGAAAGTGAATGTTTTCTCTCATATGTGTCTGAGAAAGAAACTGTGAAGATTGAGATTTAAAAAAAAAAAACATCCCTTATTTGAGTTTGTGACTGAAGGATAATATTTCTAAAAACACATTTATTTTTAATAAAGTCAATAACTATGGAGAACTTTTCTCTGATCATGTGTGAAAAACATGTAGCTCAGGAGAGCAAAACGCATCTCCATTTGATAAGGAGGTGGAATTAAAAGTACAGCATACATACATACATTATAAAGGATATCAAGTCTGAGACTGAATTATTTATACATACATGCAGTACAGCTTTAAAGTACCTTACACGTTTCTCTTATGCTGATAAATTTATGCTTGTTTGTTGTCATTTCTTCACTAATTAAATCATCAAAATAAATAGGCTTAATTATTCATTCTATTAGCAAATAGCTCCACTAATCATTCTGTTTCAATCGAAGTGTCAATACTGTGTTTATTAAAACAATTTCTCATAAATATATGAATCTCATCCGTGTCCCTTTTCAGTTATGAGATAAGATAGATTTTTTTAATAAACATTATTTGCACCTTAAGACAGATTTTTATAGACTTGACAATGATGAAATGTTCAGTAAAACAGTCAGGAATTTTCATATATAAATTTAATTTGGCAGAGATTTTATTATTTCCGCAAAGACTGCAGAAACCAGGAAAACTAAAGTAATCAAATGTGAATGTGGATCCAAATTAAAATTGACAATCTCATTAAAACACATTTTATTTATGTCCACAGCTTTATGTTTGGTATTTTGAGTACATTTGTATACATATTCACCTTATAAAATGTGGGTAGAGTTCAACAGTAGAATGATCATACTTGCACCAAACTTTAAATATCGTGAATTCCTTCAGAGACTCCTACCTAGAAAATTGTGATCATTCTTTGGCAAAATATTAAGAACTGGAATTGGATTTGTACTTGTATACCCAAACGTAAAGGTGTGAACGACCGGGGTTAAAACTGTAAAACACACCTTTAGCAGAGACAGCAATGATGATCAGGTAACCTTTTAATCTCAGGTTAAAGGTGAAAAAGCCAGGGTTTCAAGGAAAACTGCATTCCCTACCAAATGGGGAAGGGAATCCAACTTGAAATGGTCTTCTTGTACTTTAATGGAATTTTTTCCCACTTACTGGTGCAGTACTGGTGATATCTGTCCCACGCGATCGCAGCCATGAAACTGATAGAAGCCAGGACTGATATCATCCCCTGGAAAGCGTGATAATTACAACCATCTTGACCAAACGGCCAGTACCTATGAAGTATGAGGAAACATGAGTCGCACTTCCTTTAACTGTATAATTTTGCTACACAGGACAGAGCAAGGATTTCTTAACAGATTAAACATCGGTTCAAATCTCCCTCACTGGTGATCCACAAAACAAAGGCGTCACATGCATCATAAAACTATTGGATTTACTTAAAATGAATTAAATGGTATGACTGTAATCTTTATTTCTTTTAATAAATATCTAAATACAATGCACTGTTGCAAGAAGACAATGTAAAAGTTGGGCGTGTACGAGAAAAGAAAACTCCTTGCTGGGAAAAAAAAAGTATTTAATTTGACATTGAATTATAGCGAGGTGCTGCAGTGAAATTAAGATTATGAAACATTCTGACCAAACTTTGGGAGATTGTTTTGTTTTATCCACCTTATTGAAGTGTTGAGGTTTGCTATGCAGTTTCTAAAACCGTAAAGATTTGCTTGAGTCCAAGCAAAGTGGATTATAGACTGGATTATAAAACTCAGAAGCTGACTTGTTGTGCACAGAATAAGCTGCTGTATTCAAATATTAGCTGAGTCTGTAAAGAACCAAAGTACCCTTACTTTTGAAGAAAAGTCTTAAGAATGTAAGTTTTCCACATGGGTTGTTACCTGAGATAGCTGGCATAAGCAGCTGTGAGACCATTAACATTCAGACTGATGTCAGCCAAGGCCAGGTTGAACACAAAGAAGTTACTAGGAGTTCGCATCTGCTTCACTCGGAGGAAGGCCAGGATGCTGACGGCGTTGAGGAAGAATCCCAGCACCCCTGCAGGAGAAAACAAGTCACAGAGTCCCCTTTAAAACACATCATCAATCTTCCGCTGTTCCTCCTGCGACCCGACCCCGGATAAGCGGAAGAAAATGGATGGATGGACGTCCATCCATTATCATCAGAATTTTTTCATAAATTTTATGAGATGATTAAGAGAAAGAAAATCATGTAATTGTGGTCAATCACAAAGGACAGACATCATCTTGATACTGGAACTTGGAAAGAAATCTTTTCAGGTTTCTGCTCCATTTTCTTGGAACCTACACCAGAAATATGTGCACCTAAAGGTTCTGTTGTCAATGTTTTTACGACTGTTCCTGCTGGTTTTGAGAAGGAATAATCTTTCTGTAAATGTTTAAGCTGAAGAATCTTTTATTTATTTTGTTTTTCTGTTTTGCTCTTGATCCTCTGTAAATCATGCTGTTGACAGTTTTAGGTAATGTTGGAAAAGAGAATTTTAATCAATGGGATTTTCCTAGTGAAATAAAGGTTAATGGTAATGATCATCTCTCTACAATATTGTAGTTTTTACAAGCACACCAGATTTTATCAACAACTGTTTATATTTTCAAGAGCCTGATACAACAATGGTCACTGTGCCATTGTTGTATCATTTTATCACGTTTTAAAACCTTTCTTGTGGAAACAGCTTTAACCAAGGAATAGTCTCATTAACAATAATATTTAGTTGATTATATATACACAGTGGATCAAGGAGGTAAGGAGTTCATCTTGTAACTGATGGGTTGCTAGTTTGAACCCTCACTCTGTTGTCAATGTTTTTACGACGGTTCCTCAGTCATTGTGTCCACGGACAACCCACTTCACTCACCTTGCCTGCTGATGGTGCTGAGAGGGTTTGGTAATGTTGGTTTATGGCTGACTACAATAATAATTACCACCAGCATGTGAACGAGTGTGGTTGTTCACAGTGAATGTAGAGTAAAGCTCTTTGGAGTCTTCTAGACTAGATAAAGCACAATAATAGTGCAGCCCATTCTTGTTTCAACAGTTTGTAAGGGAGAATAAAGGCAAACATTTTCTCTTGGCTAAGTGAAATATAACAAATTCCACAAGGTATCGAAACTCTGGTTGACTATCACCGTATGAAGACTCTTTCCTTGCTAGCTCTAGCTTTCATACTCAGAAGCACAGCGACGCTTTAAAAACAAAAACATGAGATAATAAAATAAAATAAAATAAAGTCTATCAAGAAGTATTTCCTAAATGGTTCAGAGAATTGATCAAACATAGGATTTGGCTGTGATAGATGTTTATTTTCTCCACATGCTTTGCTTGTTGTTCCTGCAAAGTATTCTTTTCCTCTACAAACCAAACATTTTTAGTGTGAATCAGGGACTATAGTGGTGTCACCCAATAATCAAAATAAGAATATGAAATGGATATGAATGTGTATTAAAACAGTTTAATGGTATTTCTCAATGCTGCGACTGCTTGAATGGGTAGGGTATTGCATTAAAAATGTTCAATAATGCAATATGAAAGTGTTTAGGCGTTCATTTTTAACCCCGCAACCATTTCAACATTTGCCTCAAAGTGCATTTCCCTAACTTTTCCTTTTTTTTATTATTTGAGTTTATGGTTAAAACAGTGAGAGTGCTTAGTTTTAATGCATTCAATAAATATGATAAATAAAGAGAAATAGATTTTTCAATCTTCATGGGACATGTGACATGAACAACTGATTGAGAATAAGGAAGAAAGCAGAAGCAAAATTTGGTAAGTCAAGAAAACCGAAAAAGGCTTAAATGGTCAAAACAACAAGCATTAAAATAAAACCTTATGTCATACATATAAACAATTTACAATTTTACTTGTTAGAATTGATGTCAATTGACGTGTAAACCATTGTTACTGTGCAACAGGATTAATTTCAGCATTTAAAACTTGAAACATAAACATTGCATTCTTTTTCAGTTGTAGCAATTCAATTTATAGTTTCAATTGTGAAACTATAAGTTGCAGCCAGCTTTTGATGGCATCAGAACCTTGCAGGGATGAGCCTACACATCAAATCAGTTGATATTTTATAAAGTACTTGAAAACATTTGAGGACATAAAAAAATGTACAATCAAGCAAGCTTTAACTTTGTTAATCTGTACAAGTTTGGGATTTATAAGAAATGCATTTGTGGAAAAAGGAACATTCTCTGAAGCATAAGAACTGTGAACCTCTACAACTGACCCACATAACTTAAACTTGTTTTACTATCTTCTTTTTAAAAATGAAGTTTATTTATGGTAAGCTGGATCAAGACATCAGACTTCCTGATGACACAAAACGGCGCCTCTCAACCACTGCACTTGAAATGCTTCACCTTTGTGTGTGTGTTTTTTTTATGTGTCTGTCTCTTTAAATCTCGCGCAAACATCCCATCCTGCGCTGCAAACTTACCCCCAACAAGAAGCGCAGAGCCGAAAGCAAACATGTCAAAGTCCGAGAATCCCTCCGGTAGCGTGTAAGTTCCCATGTTTGGATGTAAACTCAGTAAACTCAGCTGCAAACTCAGTTGTTTTCCGTCAAACAGCAACAATCAAACCACCAGTTGCCTCCAAGATGTCGTCTTTTTTTATAAAGGCTCTTTCACGTGAAAAAGCATAAAGACACTAATCTGGGTTAAACTCTCCCCCCGGCCACTTTTGCAATCCTCGGAGGAATGTCCTAACGAGCAAACTCTCAGCAAACTTTTACCGATCGCATGAAAAAAGGAAAGAAACCAATCTGAGGGTCTTTTCTGAATAAATATTTGATCTGAAGGCGGACGAGCGTCAGACGGGAAGAATCTTTTGCTGGTGGACAGAAACTTTTTCTGTACCCACTGTAACTTTGAGCGTGATAAGGGAACAATGGGAGCATGGGAAATGTTGTCTTTCTGTAGCGATTTGGACTCAGACTCACAGTCTGTGATCTTAATTCAACTGGCTTCATGGGAATTATGAGCATTTTTAAATACTTTATGCAAATCACAAAAAATGGCAGAGAAATTGGTGGGATCTAAATACAATACAGCACTATAGATAAAATACGTTTTAATTGTTTTTTTCTTATTATTATTTTAGATCATGTTTGACCTCTTTTATTGTGTTGTTGCAAAGATTCCTGTTCATCTTTTGAGCTCTAAGGTTTAATTTTTTTGGTAGGATCTTATTTGTGCTCTTCAGAATCCAAAGCAGTTTCTCACGTTTGTCTTCTTGTAATCTCCTGTTAAGTTGGCAGCAGCTGTGGGTGTTAATTAGAACAGGAACCGCTTAAAAGGTGTTCCTGATCATGGGCAAAAAAAAAAAAAAAAAAAAAAAAAAAAAAAAGAAGCCAATGAGTGTCTAATATAAGAGAATATAAATACTCTGACATATTTATTTAATTGCACTGGTGCAGTTGTAACGTTGGCTGTGTGTAGGAAAAGTGTAATTCACCTTGCAAACTATTAATGAATGTGAAACGTTTCACAATTTTTATGTTGTATCAAAAACAAAGTTGTGCATTGTTTTGAAGAAGAAAAACAACATGGTTTTAAAATCTTTCAAACACAAAATCTGAAATGTGTATCTTTACTCCTCTTTCACATAATTACATCTGCAAAATCTTTTGAGATGTGTCTCTACAAGCTTTAGAGAGAAGACGCTTTGCTTATTCTTCTTAGTAAAACACCTAACTCGACTTATTGTGAAAATTAGTTTTTAAGAACTGACACAGACTTCCTGGATTTGGATCTGTACTTTGACTAGGCCAGGGATCGGCAACCCAAAATGTTGAAAGAGCCAACTCCAAATCTGCCTGGAGCCTCAAAAAATTAAAAGCCTTATATAAGGCTTATAATGAAGGAAATAAAGGCTTCAAGTGTTTTTATTAGCCTATCATCAAAATGACTAAGTGTAGACATAATTAGCATTAATGATTAAACATTAATTTTCCCTGCAGTGCGTCCTGGAGGGAATGACGCACCATGTGATGAATCTGTTGTACAATGGTGCTTTAAGTTTACCTTCCGTTACAATATTACTGTATTATGTTTCGTTGCATTGACAAAATTAAAGAAATGCAATAAAGAAAACAAATTTTTGATGTCATTTTTATTATCAAGATTGACAGGGAAAGGGTAATTTTTTTTGTTCCTTTTGGAACTCAAAAAATCTGTTCCCAAATGCAGTTTGCAATAACGACGATCTCTCTTTGTAAATAATCAAAAAAATCTGAATAGTTGGTGTTTGTGACTCCAATTGGATACGACTTTCAGAGCTGTAAAAAGCAGAACATTTCACATATTGGCCTTTTACTAATACGGATCCCGTCTACTTCACGTGCTATATTTAATGTGAAAGGTCACTGAAAACATCAGGACTTCATTTATTTAAATGCTTATCTGTTTACCAAAATAACCCCTAAAAATCAGGACAGCAGAAAATTGTGACACTCACCCAACGCAACCTCAACCTTTTAAAATGCGACATTTGGGTTGAGTCTGATGGCTTTACTAATCTGTGCCCAGATTACCACAAACTCATTAACCATGCAGCAACAATGTGTCCCAATGGGCTTATAAAATCCAATTTTTCTGAATCCTCCCATATTGTGTACAACTCTGGGTCCCAGAGGAGAGCCACAACAAAAAATGCTGAGATTTCATGTGGAGCATTCGATGCAGAAAGTTATCTCCGCTATCACTAACCCAAACAAGAGGCCCGATAGGTTTACCTAAAGCTGTACTGTGAGGTCATGCTGGAACATAAAGCAGGGAGAAATTTCACAACATGCAAGATTCAATCACACAATCTTTTAAGCTACCACAGCAAAGGGTGATGAAAGTGGAGCTGGTCTGAGCCAGCCTTACAGAGAATGATTGTAGTGGACTTCTGTAAATGAGCCAAGTTGAAACCTTTTGATGAAAAGTTTAATACAATCAGAGGGCAAAGAATTTCTTAATGATTTTTTATATTTGAAAGAATGCAGTGAAAATGTCTGTGAGTTGAAAACAATCCACAAAGAAACATTTAGATTAAATATTAAACTTTTTTTTAAGTTTCATCTTAAATGTTTCCACAAAAAAAAAGAAATTATGAGCTATACTTATTGCCCTGCCTGACCCAAATACCTGTCAGTGGTGTATTTGCACTTTTGTTGCAGTTGAACATTAGTCCCTTGGCAAATAGCTAAAAACTGCAAGATAATCTTTTAGCTTTGCAATGAAACAAAGGTTCGACTGTTGCAAAAGAGGTAAGTCGCTGAAATGAAAGTAGTTTTGTTTTACAGTGTATTGCAAAAGTATTCACATTCCTTAAACGTCACTATTTACCACATGACAACCAAAAACTCCAATCTGGTTTAATGCGATAGATCAACACAAAGTAATGTGTTGATCTATCACATTCTTTAAATTTTGAATGTATGCAAATCTAAAAACATGGAGTCGATTTGTGCTCACCCCCTTTACTCTGATAATTATATATTAAATTCAATGCTTTTAGAAGTGACCCAGTTAGTACCCAGAGTCCTCATGTATGTATTTTAATTTCAGCACATTCAAAACTGTTCTGTGAGGCCCTCAGAAATTTGTTAGAGCTCATAAGTGGACAACACACTGAAGAACGAGGATGGAATATAAATGTCCAGCAAGCTTTTCAGATATTTATTTAAAATCATTTAAAAAACAATGTATTGCTTTTTTTTATTACCCAATAATGCAATGCTTTAAGTTGTTCCATTTCATGAGCAAGTTTTTAACTGTAAAATGGCAAAAATGTTGCTCTAGAAAAAAGGGATGAAGAAAGTGGGAGGATGAAAATTGCATGGATTTAGTCATTTTCTGAAAATAAGAGGTCGATCTAAGATCACATATTTATTATCATAGTCTTAAATATTGGAGATGAAAGATATTAAAGAGATATTGACTAAATGAGCAAGGTGGCTCGGCTATATGCTTGCTAGAAAATGTGCAGAATTGCGAGTCTCTTGGTTTGTGTGTCTATTGTTCCTCTTGCTGTGTCTTTGTTTCTCTGTCATTCACCCTCTCTCTGACTTTCTCAATAACATTGTAACATCAGTTTTTACTGCAAAATTCAAAAATATTTTCAGGGTTGGTCAAACCCTGAAAATCAGCAATTCTGATTTTAAAAAATGTGTCACTTGAAATACATGCCATCTTATCATACTTGAGCCAAGAAATGCTATATTTGGGTTTTACCAGGGATGAGGTGCTATGATGGAGACAGATGCAGAAATGGACGTTTTTCTTATGTAGGAGAGCATCTGTACGAAGAAACAGAACAAAGACAAAATAATAAAGAGACAGAGAGATGACTGGATTAAAGGATTTAAAATCCCATCAGAGCCGCCGTGTCATTAAACTTCTGGACCTGCAAAACCCCCTCAGGGACTGTAACTCATTCAGAAAGTGTGTCACAAGCAGACACACTTTCTAGACTCGATGAAAAATATACATTTATTTCCTTCAAGCAAGGAAGCATACACACATACATCATAAGCATGAATATACTATTATATGTTCTTGATGATTTATTTTAACTTATACACTTGAATTGATACATTTGATACACTTTAAACTGACTCAGTTTGTAAAAAGTACATTTTGCCTTCTTATGGGAAGTTATTATAGTAAAAAATTATGGATAAATAGGCAAGGATGCACTTCGCCAGCATGAGATTTGAGTTCTGAAATGTAAACAAAACAGAATAAAACAAATCAAAACACGTTGTATCTCTTTTTACTCTCAACTGCCATCTAGTGGGGAACCAGTGTCATTTTGTTTTTGGATAATTTTTCTATATTTTTGTGTGAAAACAATAATAATCAAAAGTAAAAACTCAAAAATACTAAGACTGACATCACTGTTAAAGTTTTTTCCACACAAATGTGCCGTGCAAATACTCAAAACTGATAAATCTGGTTATTTATTTTTTTTGTGTACATCTGCTTGAGCCTTGTGATGCCACATTCAACATCCCATTATTTTTTCAGCAGCCAATAAACAGTTTGGAAAGCAGTTCTGAAAGTGAAAAGCATGCAGCCTATCAGCTTCAAGGAAAGAATAGCCTAATCGTGTGAATGAAAATAACCCAAGTCCTCTTCTAATCCCTGCCTATCCCTTTTTTATCTGTGGATTCAGAGCAGGCGGAGCAGTTGGAGCTGTGAGCCTCGAACCACCACCATGTACGCGATGTTCCATTAGACCTTAACTGCTGCTCTTTAATTAATTGTAGTTTAGTCTTGTAGAGCTTTAGTTGCTTGCAGATAGGAGGGAAACATGAGCCGGCACTTTGCTGCTGCTTTTTGCTTGGCTTTAGTTTTTTTTTCTACCGTAAGCACATCATGTCCTGCACAATGCAGCTGCTTCTTTCACAAGTTAAGTGACGGATCAAAGGCAAGGTAAGTTATTTTAATTTAGCTCATATTGGGAGCAGTTAAATTTGTATTGCATGCCAATCGCTTTTAGTGCCGCTTTCTACAACTCAGGGCAATTGTAATAAATAATTATTTTATTTCCTTTCCTTATAACTGAACAATAGGTGACCACTTTTTCCTCAGAATGATTGTGTTGTTTTTTTTTTTGAAACAGAAGCTTATAGATACCTAGTTTTTCTGGAAATATTCACCTATAAGCTTCCCAAGTTCAAATTTCATAATTATTCTTGCATTTACTTTCAGGCTTAAAGTAATCACAATTCTACTTATTGTTTTTACAGGAGTGTGCTTTGCAATGACCCAGAGATCACTGTGATTCCTCCAAACTTCCCATCCGACACGTCAAAGCTACGCATAGAGAAGACAGCAATCACGCGCATCGCCAGCAACAACTTTCACTACCT